GAGTTATACAGATAGCTCTCCGACCTTTTCCGAAAAGCTAGGCGTTCGGATGTAGTAATAATGGCCGGTGACTTTAGTGCTCAAGGAGGCAAACTAAGCGAAAGGGAAAGACACCTGGGTGGATCTTATAGCATCGTGGCTCAAAGAACAGATAATGTCGACTGTGTGTTGCAGCTATGCTCAGATAACCGCATGTTTCTTGCTAATACTAACTTTAAGCAAACGGAAAAATAACCCATTGTGTCATTGAATAAGAAAAAGAGAATTCAGCGAAGAAAATTTTCTTTTCGACGAAATCATTTACTTAAGCTGTACGTTCTTATACAATTTTTCCATATAACTATATATACGGATGTCCAGCTTAAGTAAATGATTTTGTCGAAAAGAAAAATTTATTCGCTGAATTCTCTTTTTCATAAGGAAAAACATCTTTTAACATGGCGACCCTCGAATTCGCCCCAACGTTGGACCCAGATAGATCACATCGCTATCAGCCACCGATAGAGGGGCTCGATAGAAGACTGTCGCTCGTTCTGGAACACATGCTTAGATTCAGATCATGTTATAGTGCTAGCGCGTGTTTGTCTGCGTCTTACTGGATATAGGAAAGAAACTGCAAAGAAACCACTTAGGGGCCTACTTAATGAAAGTCAAGTTAAGAGTATATTTCAGGAACAACTAGAAAAAGTTAGGCAGCCATGTATGTGATGTCCACCCCGAGGCAGCATGGAATGATATCCGAAAAGCTGTAGAAACAGCAGTGATATCTGCTAGTAAGGTAAACCAGAAGGTTAGGGAGCAACACTGGATCTCAACAGCATCTATCGCACTGATAGATGCTCGGAAACTCATTCCATCTGGCTCTGAACATAACGAAGAGCGGAGTCAGCTTAAACGCAAGCTAACAAGAAGTCTACGCAATGATCGTGAACCGTGGTGGGTAGCGAAAGCAAGAGAGATGGAAAAGGCAGCGGCAACAGTTAATAGCAGACAATTGTTCAGACTTGTTAAGGAAACCGGTATTGGGAACCCGACTGTTAGCGAAACAATCTCAGAGAAAGATGGACATATTATACATTCTCAATCCAGGAGATTGGATCGATGGGCAGAACACTTTAGGGATCAGTTCAACTGGCCTTCAGCCACACTTCGGTTTCCCACGATCTCCAGTCAATCTTAATGGCAAGTTAGTGTAGGTACTCCGTCCCTTTACGAAGTTGAAAAAGCCAAAGGAAATCTGAAGCGAGGGAGAGCAGCAGCCCCTGACAGGTTTACTCCTGAGATTTTTAAGGATGGTGGTCCAGTATTAGCAATGAGATTAACTGAGGTCTTAGGTAGAATTTGGGAACTGGACGTAATCCCATCTGACTAGTCTCAATCACTGATTGTGCCAGTCTATAAGAAAGGAAAAAAAGTCCTCTTGTGACAATCACAGAGGAATCAGTTTGACTAATACAGTGTCTAAAGTATTAGCTTCAATAATACTTCGACGCCTAACCAAAGCTCGTGAAGAACAGACTAGAGAAAATCAGGCTGGTTTTCGACCTGGACGTGGTTGTATAGACCAGATATTCACACTACGTCAGGTCCTAGAACATAGACATACATTCAGACGCCCCACATTGATAGTATTTCTCGACCTTAAGGCAGCATTCGACTCTGTTGATCGTGATGTTCTATGGCAGTGTTTGTCATTGTAAGGAGTACTAAAGAAATACATTAATCTTATAAAGGCTCTCTACTCGAACACAACTGGTAGAGTGAGAGGTTATGGCGAACTGTCATCAGAATTGATTACCTCAAGTGGTGTTCGTCAGGGCTGTCCACTCTCCCCATTTTTGTTCAACTTTGTGGTCGACGTACTTTTAGAGATAACACTCTCCTCATCTAAATTTCCAGGGGTTGAACTTGTACCGGGAGGTTCACTTTTTGACTTAGAATATGCAGATGACATAGTTTTATTTGGCGAAGACGCTGACAAAATGCAGAGTCTTCTGACCACTTTAAGCAACAATGAGAGCATGTTCGGGATGCGATTTCCCCTCAAAATGCAAAATATTGCTTCAGGATTAGGTTACATTGACACCCGAACTAATGATAGGGAGTGAAGTAATTGAGCGTGTCGATCGCTTCACTTATCTGGGAAGTCTCATCAGCCCTTGTTGTCTGGTGTGTGATGAAATCTCAGCACGGATACAGAAGGCTCGACTAGCCTTTGCCAACTTGCGTCATTTATGGCGTAGGCGAGATATCCGTCTATCAACCAAAAAAAACATGTTTTCTGCACAGCTGTTCGTTCCGTTCTACTTTATGGCAGTGAAACATGGCCGGTAAGAGTAGAGGATATTCGTAGGCTACTAGTATTTGATCATAGGTGTCTTCGAAATATTGCTCGTATATGGTGGGACCATCGAGTAAGTAATGCAGTTGTTAGGAAACGGGTACTAGGTAAGGATGGCAAATCAATTGATGAAGTAGTGGAACTTCATCAGTTGAGATGGCTGACTAATATGTATCTATTCCTATTGTAATTAATTTCATTTCTCACCGCTTAAATGTAAAGGGTTCGTGACCTCCAAATTCATTGACTGTCAGTGGAATATCATAACAAGAGTAGTTAGATACCTAACAACCTTTTCGATTTAGTGATTAATGAATTTAGCTGGGTTGTACAGATGTGAAAGCTACAACCACAGTAGCTATCTGTCATTAAAAATTACAAGTTAAATGCCGGATTGTCTAAAGTTAGTTGATTAGGATCAGCTTTGTTTATTTAGAAAAATATGCACGGAAACTTCAAGGGAACTATTATGTTTATTTAGTATTGCTCAGTGGACATGATGTACAATGACTGATTTATCTGAGGTTCACGATATGTATATTACGGGAAGAGATAATTGTAGACAAAAAATATCTGAAAATTTTGCTGGACTAACTTAATAAATCTTGAGTAATTTAATACAGCTTCTGTCAATATGAAATATCAAGAATAATACTCACACTACATTACAGTAATAAAATAAACAACGAAATTTTGTAATTTGTGCACGAGTTTGATTGAAGCAAATTAAACTATTTACGGTAACAAGATCAGGCATACTATATCCACTAGCCTGTTCATCACAAACAAATAGCCGAAAACTTTGTTACTCGAATGAAATACATAAGGTGTGATACTTTCTGTTTGCACATTCGAATATGTTGCGTAACATTTATTGCTAAATCAATCTTTGCTGTGGAAAGAAAAACAAAATTCTGGTGTGATTTTTATACATGTATTTAGAAAATATCGTTGACGATTTCACTGAGAATATGAGAGGTCATTCATCATTTATCCTAGGTATTCATCTGTACCAACGTCAAACTGATACTATGTCCAAAACTTAGGAATAATTAAAACGACGGATCAATCAGAATGAACCAGTACTAAATTTATTAACTATAAGGAAATAACTTACTGCATTTAACTGACTTCAATTCTCTAAACCGCGATTAAGAAATAAGAACTAGGTTCTGGCTAAAGGAAAATATCACTCGAATAAAGGTATCTCATGGAAGTGAGTTAATCGTGAATATATTTTTTGAATGAAGGCCTTACTCAAAACACTAAGATGTTAACTACAGTTCAATGTTATTACAGCAAGGAACAAAACAACCAAGTGTCTTTTATATCAGAATATATTATGCTATAAAAAAGACTAAAGGCAAACACCGCCGTATATGCAAACAAGTGGAAGAATCAACATGGGTGGGAAGGGATCGTTATAGCAGAAGCATCTAATTATATCCAATATGTAACAATTAACACAAAATGTAAGAATAAAGAATATATGTGTATGTATCGATTAAATGAAGAGATTCAAAATAACCGCAATTAAAAACTTTTTTCTAGTAATCGAAGACAATTTAATAAGACACAAATGAAGACTGATTAAATGCCTTATTGAGATGTCACACAGCCTTTCATTGGTAGTAATCATGATGATACATACTACAGTCTATGTTATTGTATTGTTCATGAACATAAATGCACGAAAACGTGATGTGTATGTCATTCACAGATAATATATTAAAAACAGAACGGTAAGAAACAATGTAGAACAGAAAGAAAGAATAATGACAAATAGGGAAATATATTTCCAAAAATAAATAAAATAATAAGTACGTAAATAATGTGTCATTAAATCAATTATTTGGTTTTTAGTAGCATATAATATGAAGTGATTTAAAGAATTAATTCAAGCTGTAAATTACAAATATTCTGATAGTTTAATTTGGTTTTCTATTCATACAGTAATAATTGCGCGGGAAAATCTAAATATACAAATAAAAAACAAGTTTCTGAAATACAATTCATAATGATAATAGTAACCACGTAAATGGTTCTTATTGGTGATTACATCAGGATATAGTAACACAATAATAATAATAATAATCATTACTATTATTAAGAGAATTAATAAGGTATGAAGAGAAAAATCACCACGAAAAAGAATCCCATCGTTAAAAGAAAAATGGCAAATGTCATGGGTACATGGAAAATAGAAAACTTTTAGTGAAGGTCATGAAACAATGTAGAGTCCATTAAAGAAAAAAAACACCTTAAGAATTTGTTGAATGCAATAATAATTACAATAAACACCACATAACATATTAGAAACTAAACAGGCAAATAGATCTGGAGAACTAATTATGAATATTGAGCTGATTACAACCGTGTATTTATTAAAAGCTACTGCGTTTGGTTGTCAAATAATGAAAGATCAGAGTTTGAATTGCATGTATTGCACACGGATGAATTCACACTACCGACACACTACAGAAAGTAAACAATATTGACCGGATATGAAGAACTTTGGCAAAGATCAAATGCTAAATCTAGTTTAATCCTCAACAGGTTCATTTGTAAAATAACATGGGTAAAATATACTCAAAGATGAAAGAGATTCATACTTTTAATAAACTAAATACAAACTCAAATTTTTAATATTTAGACCGCGTTATTCTGTTGTATATTCCAAAGCATGAGGTTTAACATTGGGTATATTATCAGTTGATATGATTGGATTGTCTCCTAAATTTACCTCAGAATTACAAACATGGTCATCGGAATTAGGAAATGTACAGTCAGGAACAGCTTCATGTTCTAATTTAGACTGTAATCCTGATGGCACAACTAACTGATGCTGACTTTGGTGGTGTTTACCCCTGTGCTTAGGTTTGCCACGACTGAAGAAGTTTACAAGAGCATTTCTTTTCTTCAACAATCCACCTTTTAAATGTGGAGTAGTTTCATTTTGTAAAATATTATCCGATAGTTTTGAGCTCTGAAAATGTAATAAAATGGATAATTAAGGAATGATTACAGTTATAAATAACAACAATAACTAATTTAGATGAAATTTATTAAATAAACTACAATACTAAAAATGAGAGATCAGAACACGATAAGAAATGGAGCAAACTGATAGAATAAAAATGGTATCCAGGATGCTATGAATTATTCGTGGTAGTAGGATTTCTATCCAATGCTAATCAAACAGGACCCAAAACTACTTTGCAAGTCATAAATAATTAGGGATGTTTCTAATCAATAAAACGATGATATTACTATAATTATACCAGCTGTATTTCGTAGTACAGAATTTAACAATTCGGATTTTAAAAGCTGTCGTATTAGCTATGGAAGGCTAGCCATATACAATTATTATCAGTGAGCTATAAAATGGTTTTTCAGACGAGAAATGAACAACAGTTGTCTGTCTTGTGACCTTTATTTCCGACCTTGATTAATTATTAAACTGACAAGAAAAATCATGATCGCACTACTTTAGGTAGATATTTAATCTAAAAAAATGACTTTAATTTCCTGACCTGTACATATGTACATCCATGCTCACCTAGGTGGATAGCGATTTTGTTCTCTGAAATATATTCAATTTAAATTTTAAGCTCAGTCTAGTGAGAAAAACTGTTAACTTGACAAGAAAAATAATTATACATTGCCTCAGTTTAGAGTAATATAATTAAGGAAATATTCATTCATTATATACAGAGAAACATTATTAAAGCGAGCATTAGTATTACCACTTTAATCTAGCTAATAAACACAAATAAGAAGTTTTATATTCAAATTCTCAACTGAATACATCTAATAGATTAGATGTCAGGCATATTATTTACATCTTTCAGGACTATCTCATTACTCTTATAAGAGCTATAAATATCAAAAACAGTATTTGACGCCTAACAATAAACCTATGTGAAAACTGAAGTATAACATTCCAAGCAGTTATTCAACTGGCATTAATCTTAGAAGCTATTTATACAAACTTGAATGGTTGAGAATCTATTGTCGATATACATTTGTGGTAATGCCAGGGATAATTGTAATAATTTTGTGCTCGAAGCATTTTACACAATACACTTACAACTCACTTTACTGTATCATCTTAGATGATCACACTACTTTCACTACCAGACATCCGACAGTCATTCATCAGTTACAAATCAATAAGGTAAACAGGGTACATGACTTTAAGAAACTGACTATTAAGAAAGTAGGATACTTTCCAACTCAATAAAACATACATTCCAAACGAAAAAATCCATCTATTATTATTAAAGAATTGACAAATATATTAACTTGTAGTAATATGACCTTAAACTACCATATAAATGTATACTGAAGAACAATATGAAGATGAAACAAGCTCTTAGAATGTAACAGCACAACAACTATCCATTATACCACAAAGCAGTGTTTTAGTGTAGATATGTAAAATACAAGGGAAACATTATAGATTAAGAAATTTTGTAACTAGCGAAAAAAACTGTCCACGCAAGTTAATCGTACAATTTGATCGGAGATGTATTCTGATTTATAGACTACATCAAGGATTTAAACACCAGAGAAGACACGATGATATCATTAGATGTGATAGGATTATACGCAAATGTCCCTTTTATGTGATACAAAATTTGAGAAATGGGAACAGATATCATGATCCCAGTAGATGTAATTAAGAACTTATCATTAAAACAAATCATGGATATGAATATTATGTTTGGTGGAATAGTATACAAAAAAGGGAATAGAGCAGAAATGGGTTCACTATTGAATCTAAATATCACCAGTATTTTCCCTTGGAAAATTAGGAGACGAGCTAGTTGCAGTTCACTGATTTTTTTACAGCCAATACATGAACGATGCTTTCATGCTCTGTAAAGACCATACTGATCAGTTAAAGGCTCTTGGAACATTTAATGAAGTCCATGCGGGAAGAAAGCAGAGGTAGAATGAACTATTTTTCTTTATTTTGTAATATTCCAGTCTACATCCCATAGATAGATTCGGTTTGTTTTAAATTTGAAATATTCATTTTGTCAGTTTAATGGTAAAGAGCTTATTCATCACTGTTATGATTATTATTCCAGTCTATATTCAACCCGTTTTGTTGATTATAATTGATGGCTGATGCCACCAAGACGTCAAACTACCGCGAAAATGTCATTTCAAAACACCAACAAATTAAAACTGGAGCAGAATAGTTACTTGAAATATCTTTCCGTAAATAAAAATATGTTATATGGACATAATTTGGTAACTGCATAGATTTATCATACACAAATAATATGAAATGATTTGCAGGAGTGTAAAACGCTTTTTTTTTACTGAGAATGTCTAATTACATCAGTACTGTTAGTCAATTAATATAAACACATCGTATAGAATTAATTCAAAAAGATTATGGTGATTGCATGGATATTGAGAACAAAAACCAAATTTGCAACCACTTGATTAACATTATCATTTATTTGTGTTTGTTCGTGAAGTCAGTCTTGTATTGATGTGCCACTCATTGGAAATATTTGGTTGGTTTGTCATTTAAATTACACTTCCCTAACAAGTGACGAGAATATTAGCATAACACTGACAAGAACTAGAATCGCGATTACATGAACGGTGAGTATTCTAGAAGATAATTAATAAATGCAAATCCTTACAGACATTGTATATATTTAACTCATTCAAAATCACAGAATGTTAGAGATGGTATAAATTAACCATAATTTGTCTTAATAGACAGAACGTAGTGTTGTCACTCAGAAAATTATAGTTAATCCAATTTGCTTTAAATTTCCAGTTTAAAAGTAATCTAGTAGTAGTAAACACTAAAATAAACATAACTTAAATTTGACTTACAACAGATTGATTAGTCAGCTTTAGGGAGCTATTTGCACTTTGAGAAGATTTGCGGTAAACTGATGTGTCACACACATCATCACCAGTTTGATCATCACAAGTTAGGAACTTCGAATCTACAAGTTTTTCGCGATTCGAAAATTGACGCTCGGCAGATAAAGACCGAGCAAGACAAACTGGTCGATCTTGAGATCCTGATTTAAGAGGGATAATTGGGCGTGAAGCGGAAGACTGTCTTCCTGTTCCAATCTCTTTTGTGCCTATGGAAGATGAGTTAGAACCTAATCTAACTGGGCGTTTCATTGTAAAGCTTGGCCACTTTTTATGTGGTTGTTGACTTGCTTGATTACATGGAGATATGGATATAGATAACTGAGCATCAGTTCGTACAGATTGATCTGTACTAAAAGTTGATGTAAGTTCATGTGTTAGTGAATCCTTAGCTAAAAATCAGAAACAAAGCAAAGATAAATGAGAAACTATAAAAAAATATGAAAGAATGAAATTAGGATTCGACGTGATTTATCTAACAAACATGAATTAATGTTTTACACATGATCTGTATATTTTTGAGTGATAGTAACCAGATGTTGAGACTAAAGTAGATAGGGGTGTTTTGGAAACTGGGACTTAATGGTTGTAAGTCGGGTGTTTTGATCACTAAGCTGTTGTTTTAAAAATGATAAAGTAACTCGTCTATAAAGAAACTAGTGATTTACAAACATTGTACACAATATCAAATTTAGGAAACTTAAAAATACTTAGTAACTAGCAAATATTTAACCAAGATGTAAATAGATAATTTACAGACAATAAAAAGATTTAGCGGTTGCATCTCAATTTAGATCTATAACAAAGGCATTAGTAATTTGAAACTCTAATTATTCAGTGTATCTTTCCGCTTGCAGTAGATGCTCTAGAACTGTAAGTAGCACCTTATTCATGCATATATTGAGGTCTGTTAGAAAGCCTCAAAACCAAGACTAACAAATATAATGTAATAAAAATATCTATCAGTTAAGGGAAACTAAAGTTGGATATGACTCTTACATATTACACAACACTGAATTTTAAATCTCAAATTAGAAGGGTGGATCTCTCATACTACAATTACCACGACACTTATTCGAAGTTAAATAAGATCACGGGACTTATTGGTTAACACGTTTTATCACATGTATGCAATCACATTATTGACGGAATGTAAAATTCAGTTACTGGTTGAACTTCAGTTTGAAAGATTTCCTCATTGACACTTCCAAAAAAATATTAGTTTTGCCATTAACGGTTGGTGGTTGTTGTTGTTATTTAAATAAAAACGCATAAAATAGTGGATCAGTATAATCATCACATTCATAGCAAATACACGAAAATATTGTCCGAAACAAAAAAATCAGTGAATGGAAATGCATAAAGACAGCAGAGAAACGCTTGAAGCTTTGAAGACCTTTGTTCACCAGAAATAAATCCGCTACGAAACCCTTTCTGATAGTCCCTCAATTTTCAATATAAAGTCTTCTGAGGCTTCAAAATTTTTCGACTATGGAACCGGTATTAACAATTCGAGCTAGGAAAAAATTATTCCTGGAATCCCAAACATAAATATATGTAACAGTTTTTAGTGTTCTGAATGTATAAAACAAAACAGGCTTCACTATCCAAGAACCTTAAGTTACGTGATAACCTTATAAGTTATCACTGAAACTCGCATACAAGAACCAAATGTGGTTAGTCACTTGACCTCAGATAGCAAACATACATTAAATCAATTAATTAAAGCAGATAGATTTCGGCACACTTGCGTACCAACAAAATGCACCACACGAATAAAGTAACGGTAATGTGGAGAGGAAATTTTCATACAATCAATCAATAAATCGATAGGTAGAGTACTTAATGAGCTTCAGTCCAGTTAAAAGTAAACACAAGAGTTTCATTTAAGAGAGGTCATCTCACTTTTGTGAACAATATAATAGGAAGCTACAACAAAATCATCACTAGCCCAAATTTTGAGCAATATATGGTAACGTTCCAAGCCACTGGGTCTCACAATCTCTAGAATCCCAACCTGAGAGTCGTGATGGCAATATCATAATGCCAGTTTCCATGACAGTGCCATCGTACAGACCGATCACACCTGGGCGTTTTTACCATATCACATGGTCAATTTGATTTCAGGCTTCAATATAAGAGGGAGGAATGCCAAGTAGAAAGTGAGCAGTCATGGTAACCGTATTCTGCACTTATGTAGACCATAATCATTTTAAGTCGAGCATCAATTTTAGACATGAATGTGGACTCGTCTTTTGAGCACCAGGTAAGTGACTCTTTATAGGTCCAGAGGCATATGTATAGAATTATGTTCGAGAGGAGTCAGCTCCAACAGGCATAATTGGAAAGGTGTTATGCAGCACAATGTCGTGAAAATGAGTGGCCGAAATAAGCGTGAATGCTTTTGTACCTTCGAAGCAGGAAGTCTAGGTGCACTACTGGCTGGGAATCGAGGTATATTTTGGAGCTACACAAGTATCGTTCTAACAATTAGCACTGACAATTTAAGGAAATATATATTCTTATGTAACTGTCATAGATAAAAGAGCTTGGATAACAGGGTTTTTAGGATAATGACCTCCAAATATAGCTGTCGATTAACTGGAGAACAAGAATGACCAACTTAAGAAAACTCGACAAATTTGATGCCCAACAACACGTTAAAATCAAATATTTATCCTTCAACACATTTTCGAACATAGGCACACTTGCAGATTTGTTGAAGCTTTATAAAAATTTGCATATATATCATAACGATAAGCTGGTTTCTGAAAACATTCAAGTTAGAAATTTTAAATGGGAAATTCGGATCAGACATCCTTTGTAAGATTTAGTGGGGAAAACAGTTTATTTGAGAAAATGCAAGAAAAAACCCACTTCCGTTAAAGTTGCTCTCATGTTTATGAATTAAAAAGAAACTAAAGTACGCCAGTCACAGGCTTTTATTCGGAGACATGTTTGATAAAGTTTCAAACCATTGAGTTAGATTATCTCTCGGACCACAGCTAAGGAATCGTGATAGACTGACAAATGCCAGTCATGCACAGCTTTCTATTATCATCCAGCATGTCACAAAGTACAATGTGGGACTCACTGAGACGATGTTCGTTGTACACGTCGATGATAACGTCAATTTAATGATCATCACTGTGCCAAACTTTCACATTATGAATATAGTGTTGCCTTTGAACTTTAGCAATTTTTCGGACACAGTTTGCCTTTCATCAGTCTAGCAACCATCAGCATTCAAACAGCTACCCAGATAAAAAACTTTTCGACTACTATCTGCTCACTAACACGAGTCAGTAAATTTAGTGTGTGAAAAGTACATGACAGGTATATATATTGATTGACAACTGATTTAGTGTCGATTGCATAGTCTGATTATTCGAAACGTACTTTATTTGAGAATCAACGGTCAAATTTAGGATTCTAAGAAATTACTTGTGTGTTAAGTGTTATACAAACAACTTACCCCATCCTTCATCCCGAGTGCTAGTGTTGAATTTCCTTGGATCTTGGAGAGCAAGCAAAAATTCGTGCTGCATATGCTGAATATCACGCAACTGTACAACCCATGCTTCTCTATTCGAACAGCTAATAGGATCAATAACATAGACGAAGTCTTTTCCAGGAGTTTGGTCTAAAATTGCAAACCGCAGATCGTCAGGTGAATAGCCACTGCACAAAAGATTATCAATAGTTGCAGCTTCTGAATTTATGTGACCACTCGAAAGAGTACAATTGTACCAATGAGACTGAAGAGCGACAATAAGACAAGAACAGTCAATAAAAATACTTTGCAATGATGCAAATCAAGACTAAGTGTAGTAAATAGTTCAGAAAACGGATCCATTCAAAAATTTATTCAATTAAATCAAATCTTGTTAAGAAAAACTTGTTGGAGGAAACCAGAGAAAATGACGATTGGTGTTCTCCATACGTTGCACTTGGGGATACGACATCAATATCACTCTTCTGATCACCGTATAAAATTTTGGAGATGATTTGTAAATGTTATCAAATCACACTATAAAAGCTTTACAACCAGTGGAAAAAGCATCCACAGAACTGGTTGGAAGTAAAAACGTTTTTATTATGCCATCTACAGTTGACATGACTCAATTAGCAAATTTAAACTAGAATGAGTGACTAGTACTGTAATCATATAATAACACTAATTAGAACAAAGTTTTCCTCAAGGGGTTAACTAATGAATAATATATCATCGTGTGGAATGACAAGCGATTGAATTAAATTAAGCAATTTTTGACCATGGTGATTAATTAACATTTAAACATGTGATTAGAAAATTTGCTTTAAAAGTTATCTGTACTCACCTCATAACGCATTTTGTTGACATTTATTGCAGCTTTAAACTGATAAGTAGACTGGGAAAATGTATCACTGGTAGCTACGCGACGCTTTGGTTTAACTTCTTCCGTTACGAGTAGCATTTGCTCGAATAAAAACAACCGTGATTCTACAAACTTTAGATTTCCTGTAAAAAGTCCATTTCCTTCTGAGATAACAGAATTAAGGCCTTCAACAGGAGAAGGTAATCCCAAACTATTTGGTGTAGCAGAGGACGAACACATTGTGGCTGAAGTGTTTGTAGAAAGTGATGGACCCGTATTTACTCCAGATCGCCCAACATGAGAAGGGATTTTGTTAAGTGATGTATTGGTTTCAGAAAAAACACCACTGTTGACATTTTGAAGAGCCATTTTATAGGCAGTGACAGTTTCTAACAATTGCTCACGAGTAGTAGTTGCTACTAACAGATCACTGCGTAATAATATGTTTCCCAAAGCGGTTATTACTCCAGGGAAGCCATCTATACGAGCAGCCTGAAAAGTAATGAGTATTTGTTATAAACAGTGAAGCAAAAAAACTACGATGAATGTGACTATATATAAAGTGCAAGAGCGTAATCCAAAAGTTCAGTGGTTAATGCCAAAACTGAATAGCTATAATTCATTTTATGGTATAAAAGTTGGCCTGCACAACTGTACCGCATATTAAAGGTTGTACTCAATAAATAAAGACACATATGAGTGGGAGATGACAATATACAAACTACGTATGACAAGAAACGATCCACAAATATTTACATATATTTATTTATGTATATTTTCTGTGACTTGCAGATGAATACAAAGTTAATACCATCATGTTCTAGAGCTTCACTTATCTTACAAAATAAATTAGGCAAGTTGGTGCACAACATCCTATATCTGGTTGTTCCGATTATTTTGCAAACAAGGGTAGGGCCAGTAGAAAAGAAACTTAATTTATTACAGGACAATTGTTAAGCTGTGCGTTGCACAGCTACAGTAAATGATAAAATTAAAAAGTTCAGTAGCTAGGTAAACAACGCGATGGTGCTTGATGCGAACGGCACTGGGTTCGAGTCAAGGTGTGAACACCAAATCTGGGATGCAGGTACATCCAACTGACAAGCCCCAAACCAGACGCGCGTCCTGGATTCCACTGCCAGCTATTATCCACCCTTGCCTAAAAAACAAGAGATTAAAGTACTTAAACTATTGATATGGAGTTGGGAATTTAAAAAGGAACCGAGAACTGAAGGGTAAAACATAACTGCAAATTGAAAATTCTAGTTCAGATCAATGTGTATTCGCTGATAGAAAATAGGTCCACTTTACATTGATCGAAACATCTATTTATAATACAGAAATCGGTACGGTTGTTGGTTACTTTGCTTTACAGTCGACTTTCTAGTCACTACTTAAATTTTTCACATTTGCACGAAAAGGTGAAGATTTCTAATATATCCTAATGAATTTCGTAAACCTACCGTTTTCGTAAAGACTTTTAAACTCGATGCATTCAGTACATTATTTTCCTGAAAACCATTCTAACTAAGCTTCGTTTGCAAAATATGGTTTTAGTTTACTCAATTTTCGCAAATGTTCTCTCGATATTATTCTAGCCTGAGATTTAGGTATACGAATTTCATTGTAAATTTGTGTTGTCTTCTGAGCTGGATGGCCTAACAGAGCGAACCCGTTTAGAAAAGGCAAACCACGAGAGAGGATCAGTGGCGAATAACATCCAATGAACCCGTTTTGCATCAACTACACGACAGACCGGAACCATATAAACCAGAGAAGAGAACTGTTATATCCTAGTGCAGATCAAATTATAGGGAACTTCTGAGAACTGTTAATGGACTAATATTATATGTGTATTCTCATCGTATAGCTATTCAGTAACTAGACCGCATATATATATTCCTCTTGTTATAAGCTTTATTTTAACCTATAGACAATTATTATACGATTTACTGTTCTTAAGTTATGTCCAGTTTATTAATTACTGTCTCCCAATCACTTTTCGGCTTGATCTTGTACAAATGATGTTTCCTATTTTGTGGTGTGATGTGGTCCATTTGGCTTGTGTATAAACCAGGTGTGTTTGAAATAGAGGATTTACATAGTGGAAGCTGGTATTGGTGTTATGGACTTAAGTGGCAGGGCCAGTAGGAAAAGGACCAATAAAGACGCTAGGCTGCTCATACCAATCGAACGTCATTGGTTTGGACAGTGCTAAGATTGTATTCTTTTTCAGGTTCCTCAAGAAATACCCTTTCATGGTGTAGGCAGCCGGGAAGAAACATCACAGCACGCGAGAACAAGTTGGTCACGATCAATCAATTAATGTGGCTTGTCAAGAAAAGATTAGCCGATCCATGTAGTCTTCAAAATATCTACTAGTTATGATCATCAATATGATTTGTCATTTAAAATCTTATTCAATTATTTAAATCACAGAGTAGGACTGAATGATGCTAGAAGACACGATTTTAGTTATATTTCACCATAATTCTCTAACATTTTACGTCAGAACAAGAATATTACTTTTTACAGCCATCAAGTTGAATGAATAGGAAGTCGATTACAATCTAAATGTCAGTCAACTGACTATATTGACAACTAATTAACTAAAATACTTTGCTTGTTTCCGTTGAAAAAATTTGCCTACGTTTATTTTCAGTAGTACGGCCTCATAATTTTGTCTGTAGCTCTTCTAGGGTTACTGCCCGTCCCGAGTAAATGAGGAGAGTTAGACATGAAGTCAGCAATACAATCCCGTAGAAAACAACCCTGATAAGAAAACGCTAACAAGGATTGAACTATTTAACGTTTGCCCAAGGATTTCAAGGACCTTTCAGTCGATTATGATGCCTGATGATGAAAAACGAGTCATGAGGTTGAAGCCTTTTCTAACAGCCAGAAAAATAATTTCTATAGGTGGAATACCGGAAGGGCCAACCTAATAGCTGTGGAAATGAGGATACAACTTGGCAGTACTCAGTATCAGCCAAAACAGTCCTGCTTTACGGAGCTGAAACTTGGAGAACCACTCACCATCAAAAATTACAAGTAACTATAAACAATTGTTTACGCAAAACACTCAATGTTCGTTGACGGGATACCATCAGTAACGGTCTACTGCTGGAGACAACAGATGAAGAGGAAATTAAGTAAAGACGTTGGAGGCGGTGGGTGTTACATACAGATCAAACTGCATCACGAGTCAAGTGTTTACTTGGAGTCATGAAAGGAAACGGAAAAGACGAAGGCCAAAGAATATACTGTCAGGAATTGGAAGTAGACATGAAAAGGATGAATAGCAACTGGAAAATACTCTAAACGACAGAGTTGGTTGGAGTATGCTCATGGGCGGTCTACGCAAGAGCACGAGGGGTAAAAGTTATAAATACAATATCATCATACAATTAGTTCCAGATAGCTATATGTAGAGCGAACAAATTAACCTATCTTTGATTGCAGGTATTTGTATTTCAATCGTCGGATCACATAGTCATAATCATTATGCGGTATTTAAGTTAGTTGAAGAGTATGAACGAGAATTTAGCCGATGATAAGCATACTCTACAGTTCGAATAGAAAAGTTACACTACTAGTGATAAGCGCAAATGATTTCAAAAATTCTAAATAATGTTGCTGTTATAAAACTATTTGTAGTTATCGATTTTTTTCAAACTAATAATAGTTAAACTGAAGATAGTGGTACATTGAAATAAGAGATCTGGTATGTTGATTTATTAGAACGCAATTTCACTAAGTTGGAAAAGGTTGCCCTCAATATACTGATTCGGTTAACTAACATCGAAACGAAACATTTCCTACCTCGACTTTCATAGACCTAGACACCTGAGAAATATTTCTATCTTCGAGGTTGAAGAACGTGAAGTTAAACTTCTCCACACACAAAAATGGCACGACAAACTGCGTATAATCATGAAAAGCAAATGGCTTTTCCTAATTTTTCCACTGAGGACCAACCAAAGAAATCCGGGGTGTCAAATCCCAACCGATTTCCCGAAACATTCCAACACTGACAAAGTCAGATATTTTTTACTATGAATTAACAATATAATTACGCTGATTATAGACAGATAGAGCAGCCCGAAAGCATACACAAGTAAATGTTTAATTCTAAACACTTGGATATGACATGGATGAAATATACAAATGAAATCAGAAAGGTACATTAGTAAACAAATGTACTAGTAATCATAATTACGAACGACTCCAAATAAGGTTTTTACGGGACGAAGTAGGAAGCATTTAAATATATCTATATGACATTGAAATGACGCTAATACACATATGACCAGTTGTACAAAACAATGTACAGTTCAAAACTTACTTCCAAAATCAGTTGCGTATCCTTTGGGATTTCCTTCATAATCTCCAAAGTCTTTTTCCACAATAAAAGATCAGGTGAACAGGCACGTTGAGTGTACTTAAGAATCTCTGCAATAGGGAGTTGGTAGCGCATTATACGCTGTACTGGTTGCATCAGGTGTGAGACAACGTCCTCTTTGTCGCCAATAAAAATACGCAACTCCTCAAAAAAATCCCGGTACTGCTCTGCAATTAAAGCTGCCTTTCGGTGATTTTCACAATATTTCGAGTATATAGACCTTAAACGAGCTCGAGAGTCAATAAAGAGCTTTGGTATGCGATCGGGATCACTCTCCACAACGCTAACTAATTTTTCAAGGAACGCCGAATGCCATTCATATAGCTGAATCCAGTTTCCCCATATAATTCTCCATCGGGCTGCTAAATCCTCTGGAGCAACAGGCGGGGAAGCATGTGAATCACTGTGAGGTAGCGAGCTAGCTGCTCCTATAATGTTTTCGGTATTGGACTGAGCTGTAGTTGGAGCATTAACAGCAGGTATGTAGAAATCCTTTACCAGTTTCAAACGCCGAACATAACCTTCTTCGGAACTAACTAGTTCCATTAGTGGTTGTTTTCGCTGTATCAACGCTCGTGAAACATCGTCCCCAGCCGAGCCTGATATAGTCATTTCTTCAGTACACCGATCTTCTTTAATTTTGGCACCAGGTGAATTTTCATCTGAAGAGTGGCGGTCAATACTAAAGGAATCATGAATAGAACAAGGCTCGTCTTTAGAATAATTCGAACGACTAGCTTCCTGATCACTTAATTTTATTGTGTTGGCCTGCATAACCATCATATCTAAAGAGATGTCTTTTAATCCAACAACAGATTGAGGACCTAGTTCGTTAGTCGACATAATTCAAGGAAATATGCAGTCACACACGCCAACGAACGATAAGAACAGTACATCACTTAACTACTCCAAGTTCTAATTATTCATCTATGTTAGTAGACTGAACTTTGTTACTCATATATGACAGCAATCACCATAACTGGATGTAATTCTTCCCACGCATTAGCAAGAAGCCATCGACAAGTTGGTTATAAAATGCGCTCCGACTTGGAGATACAAACAAAATAACGTCAAATTTCCAAGGTGACGTTGAAATAATATGTTTATCCATCCTATCAGGTTTTCACATTTGCGGTGCGAAACAGTGTGATTTTACCAGTTTTGGATAATCAATATTCTTCCAAAAATATAGAAGTTTACGAAATTCTTAGTTTATAATTTACGGTTTAGGAATGTCAGAAGACTAAGTTGCCTATGTTGTTTGAAGATTTATTTTCAAGCTCAAAAAATATTCAAAAACATGAACCATCTTGGACTTTGAGCTAAACAACTTTGGTCAATTAATTATCTCAAAATACCTTAAAAAGTCATCTTAACTTAGTGGTCTGGACTGTGGAAGTGGGTTATTTCAGTTTCAGTTTCAGTTTCAGTTTCAGTTTCAGTTTGGGAAGGACAGGAGGCTCGATGGCCTATGTTAGTCCTGGCAATGGTGGTCTCTCAGTTGATCCAACTTTCTTTTGAAAGAGTCGACGGATGGAGCCTCAACCACGTGCTGAGGTAGTGAATTCCACTCGTTGATGATTCGATGGGAAAGTCGATAGTCAGCTGACAAGTAATTTGTTCTCGGCTTATGAACTTTTTTGGAGTGTCCTCGTAAATTCTCTGTTTTGGAAGACAAGAAAAATGAGGGCATGTTAGGTGCGAATTTATCACTAAGCAATTTGTAGACTGTAATCAAGTCGCCTCTAGTTCTGCGATATGACAACGGGGAAAGGTTCAGCTTGGCCAGTCGAGCTTCATACGGAAGCTTCGCTATTCCGGGAATCAATTTAGTTGCCGTTCTCTGAACCTTTTCCAGAAGCTCACTGTCTTTTTTTAAGCAGGGGTTAGCCGCTTGTATGCAGTACTCAAGTTTAGGACGAACGAACACTGTATACAAAGTCATAAACGTCTTAGTGTCGACATGACTAAAAGCCCTACGTATTGACCATAACGTTCTAAAACTTTTGGCGGCTATTGCACGGCAGTGTGCAGTAGTCTTTAAGTCTTGACTAACGATAACTCCTAAGTCATTATATGTCTGGACGACAGGTAGCTCAGTGTTATTCATCGTGTATGTATCTGTACCTTGATGACCGATATGCATCACAACACACTTGGAAGTATTTATCGGCAACTGCCATGTTTGAGACCATTCAGATAACTTCTTCAAGTCATTTTGAAGTTCTAAGCTATCACTCTTACATCGTATCGTTCTCCATATCTTGACATCGTCAGCATATAGCAAGACCGATGATGATAGGAGACAAGGAAGGTCATTTACATACAAGAGGAATAGCACTGGCCCCAAAACTGTACCCTGGGGCACTCCACTAAGCACAGTTTCCCAGCTAGATAACTTTGAGTTCACCCTTACTGTTTGTTGACGCCCAACTAAGAAGTCTTTTATCCACATCAATAAATTACCTCCAATCCCGACATGTCTTAACTTATATAACAGCCGGTTGTGCGGAACTTTATCAAAAGCTTTACTGAAATCAATGAAGGCGACGTCTACAGGTAGCTTTTGGTCCTTAAGAGCACACCAGCTTTCACGAGCCACTAATAAGTTAGTGAGACAAGAATAACCTATTCTGAAGCCATGCTGCTTCTCCGAGAGGATCCGGTTTTTATCGAGATACTTAAACAGCTCCTTCCGAATAATCTTTTCTAATATTTTAACAACCACACTAGTTAGGCTAACGGGGCGGTAGTTCTCAGGTTTGTGTTTCGTGTCTGTTTTGAAGACAGGACTTACTATGGCGTTTTTCCAATCTTTCGGTAAGCGACCCTGCGTAACGGATAGGTTAAAGCATGTACTTAAAGGGTTCGCAACGAAGTTAGATAATTCCTTCAGTAGCCTAGGATGTAATTCATCGGGCCCCGTGGATTTACCTATGTCAAGCTTATTTAGCAGACCAAAGACATCGAGTTCTTTAATGGTCACGCTATCCAGTGTATGTATGGGGGATCTGTATACGCTGACGAGAAGGGCGCTTCTATGGTATACACGTTGCTAAAGTAGTTCGAGAACGCTTGAGCCTTACCAAAGTCGTCCTCCACTAATGATGAAGCAGTACTGTCTCCCCATAGAGCAGGAATATTTCCTTTTCTCCTTGTCCTTTGGTTTATATAGGAATACAAGCGTTTAGGACATTCTATGGATTCCTTAACAAGTTTTTCTTCGTACAATTTTCTAGACTTACGGAGGGTCGAGGCACAAGTGTTCCGAGCCTTTCGATACTGAGATTTTGACTCATCAGTCCCCAGTAACCTAAATCTATCCCACGTTTTCCTTTTCTTACGGAGAAGGATACGGACCTCCCTACTGAACCATGGTGGTGAGTTTTTCGGCCCCTTTGGTATAGTCCAAGGGATGTGAGGTGTGGTAACTTTTAAGTATGATTTTCGAAATGTGTCCCAGGCCGTTTCAATGGAGGACTCTGGGTCTATTGTCCAATCTATTAACGATGCTGAGTGCATGATGTCTGGTATGTTTGCTTTCCAGACGTTGGGTCTGGACTGGACTGACGCGTCCTCATGACTGGCAGTTATATGGAAGTCGAAAGTTAAAACTGCGTGGTCACTTTTACCTAAGGGTGGCATATGGTGGAGGTTCGCAACATCATCTTCATAGTGAGTCAGTATAAGATCTAATAAGGATGATTCAGTGTCCGGGTCGTACCTAGTCGCTTCTTTCACATGTTGCACTAGGGCACATGTGATAACCGCATCAACTAGTTCCTGCTCGAAGGAATTTTCTGACGATTCAGTTCGCAGATTTTCCCAGTCTACCATTGGTGCATTAAAGTCCCCTAGGATTAGACATCGACCACTTTGGGACCAAGTATTGAGACTGCTTAACAGGATCTCATTTGCCTCACAGCTTGGACTGCGATAGACCAAACCAATCAGCAGCTCTTGTCCTTTGCATTTTAAGCGAAGACTAACTAATTCACACGTCCCACTCTCATGGGATACACTATCGATAATGGTAAATGGGATAGCATTCCTAATGAATAGAGCTACTCCCCCTCCTTTGCGCTTTTGTGTCCTGTCGGCCCTTACTAACGTAAAGCCCTCGAAATCAAGTTCTATACTATCTATAGCCTGTGTCAGCCAGGTTTCTGTTACTGCGATTATATCTGGCTTTATAGAGTCAATCTGTACACCTAGTTCCGATCGCTTATTAAGTAAGCTTCGTGCATTGGTGTAACAGATCCGAAGCCTGTTTAGGTGCCTTCGTGCTTCACCTAGATTGGCTTCGGCATCATTCTCTGTCGAAGTCTTACAACCCGAAAATTTACAATTTTCAGGTCCTTTTCGCCAGCGTCTAACCTATGTTGTAGTTCTTTCTCGGCTTCCCGTCTTTTAACACGGTCTGCCAACGGTAGGTCCTTTCGGATAAAGACTCCCGAGCCCTTTAATTTGTGTCCATTTTGTAAAATTAGGTCACGTTCGTTTGAAGAGCCGAATACTACTTTAAGCAGTCTGGAATGATTTGGTTTCGAGTCCGTTAGACTCCCTAGTCTATACACCTTTAGCAAGGTGACCCCAGTCATATTCTGAGGCATGAGTTGATTAAGCAACTGCCTAATCAGTACAATATCATGCTCAAAACGAGCTTTAGGTTCAGAGCTATCGCTCTCCTTAATTCTATGAAAAATAGCTGATCTGTCGCTATGATCAGCTTTCGATTTTTCAACCAGTTTTACGGGGGCAGGTTTCCCTTTTATATCAATACTTTTCTTCCTTACAACCTTTACCCATTCGTTAACGCTGCTGGTAGAAGCAATAGCAGTTGCGTCAAAACTAGTGTTGGGTTTTGGGGGGTTGTCGACGACCTGAGGGGTCGTGTTATGTTGACCATTTGAAACCGATCGAGCCTTGCGATTGCGGCTTATAGGTGTTTCCTGTTGGATCCCATCTGGGAGACGGGGAACAGAAGACCCCACTTTTCTTGAGCTTTTTTTTAAGGCAGACCCCTTTGGAGACTGCTTCTCCTTCTTCGACGGGCGTGAGTCATCTATCACCGGACTCACCTTAGTTTCCTTCACATTGATTTGCGTGTCAACAGATCGAGTGCTGTTTGACGCGTTCCGACTATGCTTGTTGAAACACTTCTTTGCAGCATCAACCAGTGAGATAGCCTCGGTTAACAAGCTGTTTGCATCCGAGCAGCACTGTTGACAAAGCCACACACAACCCTTCTTACTGAACCGTTTGAAAGCAGCAGGCGTTAAGTTCGTGCAAACTTCGTGGTACCAGCCTTTGCACTCGTCGCACTGCATGCCGCTTTCAACAGGATAACGACAACCCGGACGTTGGCAACTGCTTTTTTTACACTGTCCGGTCATTTAGGAGGGGTTTTTTCAATATGCGATGATACCCAGAAACAAAAAAATTATCAATGACCAAAAAAAGTGAAGAGCTGTAGATTGCTAGGACCAAAAGTACTGACAGATACAGTTGAAAAAGTGGTACTAAAGAGTACCAACGACAAAACAGTAAAAACGATACTTTAGTCGAATACTTTAACTGAAATAAATTCAATTAAAGTGAAAAACAGTAGTCTTGATACGTAATAAACGATCAAAACAATGAAATTTACTCAGCGAGGAAAAATACCACTGTCCTTTTTAAATAGCGCGCCAAAAGATATGTAAGTACTTACTGGTGTTGTCAGTGCTCGCTTAGGCACTCTCAACAAACTACGCTTAACCTAGTTATTTAGGGCACTCAATCTGATATTCAGCAAGTCAGGAAACTACATACTATGCTAACTCTTCTCAAAAAAGAAAATTACTTTTATACAACATATAATCCCCTTTGATTAAAATTAATAACATTTGGTTAGAAAAGACCCAAACACTTAAATAGAGGTTTTGAGGGGAAAATGACGGGCTAACACTCTATGACGATGGGATTCGTCGTTAGAATTGTATACAGAATGATTAACGTA